TCTCTTTCTCCCTCTTTTTCTCTCTGGCCCTGCCCCTCACCCTCCCCTCCCAGTCATTCCTCTCCTGACAAGGTAAGGGCGATGGCAGCAGATGGAGACTCGCTTCATATTCCAGAGTGGGAGTGAAGTGGCCCTGTACTTGCCACTTCTTCTGGTCCTTGTTGGTGCTGCATGCACCTTGATCGCTTGAGGAGATGCACAACTTTCTCTCCACCCTGAGACACTGGCCCGGCCTGGCTGTGGCTGATGCTGCAACTCTTGCTGCCTCCATGGCCTGCTCGCTGCTCTTGCAGCAGACTTAAATTTAATGCGCTTCACAATGGGAGAGATCTCCTCCTCTTGGAGCCCATTACAATGTGGAACATCAGCTGCAACCGGGCCGGGCTAGTGTCTTGGGGCAGAGAGAAAATTGTGTGTCTCCCTGAGCAATTGAGGTGCGCGACCAACAGGGGCCAGAAGTAGAGGGCTGCTTCGCTCCTGCTATGGAATATGGAGCGAGTCTTCATCCGCCACCATTGCCCTTACCTTCTCAGGCGAGGAGTGACTGGGAAGGGAGGGTGAGGGGTGGGGCCAGCCAGTGATGGGATCACCCGACAGGGAGCCACAGCAAAGGGCCCAAAGATCCACCTGCTGTTCCGGAGCCGCGGGTTGCCGACACCTGACCTAGACTGATCATTTGCTGTTTCTGTTCATCTGTAATAAACTTGTTAATAGTCTGTATGGTGAAGAATCCTGACAGTAAATTCTATGCTAATGCATTAGTTATATATGAATGAACATAGAAGACTAAATGAGCCACTTAGAAGATCCAGACTTCTTTTTGTAAATATAGTACCAGCAACAGGAATAACATTAAAGGAGGATATGGCTGAAGGGGCTGGCATTCCTTATACTACTTGGAGGACCCTGAATAGGTTGACAATTGGAGTGCCTCAATGTAAAATGAATATGCTGAAGTGGAAGCTCTTACTGGATACTATGTGAATGTGGAGAGATCTAGAGCCCCACTCATCTGCTGATATATTGGCTATAGGGAGAGGGAGGAGAGGAGGAGGAAGAGAACAGGAAGAGGAGGACTGGATACCTGAATTTTGCAGTCCAGATATGATAGCCCTACCATGAAAACTAAAATGAAGTGCACACGGTTGTATAGAAAAGGATATAGGGGATAATTGATTAACTTTCCTTGGTATTACCCTATTTTCCCCATTTCCCAGGTTCCAAACAAGATGTGTTTAGGATTGCAACAAACTAGAGGGAAATGTTACAGCTAAGTGGAGAAAAGATAACATTTCTTCCTCAGTGGGTTTATTAGATCTTAGTTTTCTTTTTCATATTATTTCTTGGTTGTGTTGGAATTAAAATAAAGTCCAGTTCCAAGCCAGGAGAAAGATGCTGAAATGAAATAGAGGCAGGCTGCAGGAAAAAAGGTCTCTGTTTCTTTGGTAGCCAGAAACTTCAGTGACAGCAGCATGTTTCTGGAGTGGCTGACAAAATGGGATTGAGAGTAGGTGGGCTTTTATACATTCTTTGGGGCTTTGTGATCCTGTACAAGAATATGTCCTTTACTATTTTAATAGTTGTTGCCATATTCCTATGAGGTCACATAGGGGTCATGGCTGGCTCTACAAGCAAAAGGGGAAATGCAAATCCTAGTATTTGTTTGTCTGAGCTAATCTTGTCAGCTTTGGCTCCTGGCCTATTGTGTTGCTTATTTGGAGTTTCTGGTTGCTCTCTTTTTGAATAGAGTGGCCCAATCTTTCTAAATGGATACAAAAAATCCATTCGTAAAGACTAGTCTCTTCATGCTCCAGCTTGAAGCTGTTTTCCTATAGCAGGAAGACTGGGGCTGCTTTCTGCCTTTGAGAATGTCTCTCCTCTTCTCCTTCAGGGGAAATATTCTATTCTGCTTCTTTTTAATATTAAAAATAAAGAATATTTTACTCGGGGGGGGGGGGGGCTTCCTACAGTTGCATTGGCTGTATTTGCCCAGCCAGCCCCTTTAAACAAACATGTTACACAAACTGAACTATTAGTGAATGATTCAATGTGTTATGCAAATCCAGATCATTGTGGTAATACAATAAACTGTGGTTAACTAAACTCAGGATTGGAATGCCATGATTATATAACATACATGGGCTTTCTCCTGTCAATGTTTTTGAACAAAGAACATAAAAGCTAACATAAATAGTAAAAAGTAAAAGAAGCAAAGAAATGAAAAAGAAATGTGAAAAGACAAAATAAAGTGAAACAAAAATAAGCTTCAGACCTCTTTTGCAACAAATACAGCATAAGCACAATTACAAAATTATCTCTCAATCTGATTACAAAAAAGAAAAGCTTTTCACTACCTAGTTTTTTAATCTATTTATCAAAGCCACAAATAAATGCATTTTCCCATTTCATGCAAAAAGCCTCTAAAAGCCTTCCAGTCAGTCATAAATGTAGTTATTGTTTTGTTCTCTGATCAAAGAAGTTAATTTACCATCTCCACAAATTCCATCATCTTCACCAATTATTCCTCTATTGTGGGTGCTTTCCTTTATCAATCTTGTCCACTTCTTCCAAAGGACACTTTAAACCTTCTTGGGATGGTGGTATCATGTTCTTCCTTGTCCTCTGGGGCCATCAGCTCCAGCATGCAAAAAACTGGATAGCTACTAGATCTTAGTGCTTTGCATTTATTTGTGCTCTCAACTAGGGGTAGTTGGGAGCAAATTCCCAATGCATCACAAGGAAAGCATTAGAAGGCAAAGCAGTTCTAGTATACTACTAGCAGAAAGTCTAAGAATTAAATTCTTGGGTAGAGCTCTCAGTCTATAACTGTCCACTAAGGGCAATGTGTGAAACAGATGGAAGAGAAGAGCAGGTTTGTATGGTGAGAGGGCTGCAAGAATAAACACAAATGGAAGGTGGAAGGATTTACAATTACCTACAATGGAAGATTGGAAGTGAAGCTGGTGGAATTGGCAGAGACGGGAAAGTCTTGATGAAAGAAAAGACTTTGACAATTTTTTTTTCCACTGGGAACTCCATTTTTGGACTTTCTGTGAGAAACTGAAAGAAATGAAAACTTGATTTTGGGATTTGTTGCTTAGAATTGCTTGAGTGTATAGAAAACAAATGTTAATCTTAAAGCATTTAATGAGAACTTCCAGCTGATGTCACAGTGAGATCGGATGCGAGGAGAGGGTCTCTGTGCTCCCGCACGAAGTTCTGCCCATTGGAGAGCTCCAAAAGGAGCTAAAGCCACCTTGTAGGGGTGGTGAAGAAAAGAGGGGTGTCCTGCAAGTCACGGGGAGATACAACTCTCCTACTTGACTCAGGGCTTTCTTCTCTCCAATCCACGATGAGGAGAAGAGGCAGCCATCATGGCTGCAATGAAGCTGGGACAGCCAAGGCAACAAAGAAAATGCCGGAGTGATGTAGATGAACAGTGGTTGGAACTGGGTGAGATGATTTCTTTTTTATCTAGAATCCAACCCTAAAAGGAAAAAAAAATCTAGGAAAAGAGACTCTTAGAATTATCTGTTGAAGTGGTGAACAATTACTTAGAAAAAAATTCCAGACCTGAAAGAAAGGAACTAAGAAGAGAAAAGTAAAAAACTTTTAAAACATAGAAAATTGGACATTTAAACTGGGTAAACGCTGTTTTGGAAAGACATTTTGGGCGAAGTATCTGGACTGAATTGTAAAGATGTAGATGTAGATAGAGGCAAAGATCTAAGAGAGGAGTATGGGAGGCAAACCAAAAAACAAATAAGAATTGAAGCATTAAAACAGGCAAGAGATGATGGATAGAAAGGGTATGCCTTTTAATATAATGGTGACCTCACTAAAAGCTAGAATAGAGGTAGAAATAAGAATACATACTTTTATATAATAGAATAAAAGCAATAGCTAGATGGAAAGATTAGAGGTTGAAAGATGGCATTACTATGTATGTTCAAACAATATTGTGATTGGCATTAGAATGGCACATTGAAACACTGAACAACTAAATGAAGGATTTATATTTGAATACAAACATGTATATTAACACTAGGATTACATAAATTTGACTAATGTAACAAATATTAACATCATTATTGTTATTTGTATCAAAATGAATGACACCCAAACGCCACACTGTTCACAGTTCATCAACTGTTGATGTTGATGTATATTTTAAAATTATATATATATCATACATACATACAAAAAAAGTTTAATGCAGATATGTGTGTCTGTGTATACATATATACACGTGTGTATATACACCCACACCCACACCCACACCAAAGAAAATTGAAAGTATTTTTTCTTATTTTCCTCTTGTTTGCTTGCACATGAACTTTTTTTCTTTCTTGAGCTTTTTCTTTTTTCAAATCTTTTTTCTGTTTATTAATCTTTTAACTTCGTTTTTTTTCCTGAAAATTGATTAGTTTTATTTATATATAAAGAATAAATACAAATAGATTTATTTTTTGTGAGAGGGAATTTCAGAGTGATGAAAGGAAAAGAAAACTTTGAGAAGAGGGTCATAATGACTGAATCCTTCCTCCCATAATACAATTTCTCAGTTTTAATAGTACTTTTGCAAAAACTGTTCATCAGATTTATGCAATAAGCCTTTTACTAAAAATAAACAGTCAAGCAGCTATCCACAAAAGTGAATTTGGTCACAATAAAAGTTAATTTGGGGAAAACATTGAATTGCAGAGCATGAAATATAATTACAACAGAAACATTGAGAAGAACTTCCATGGAGAATTAAATCCTGAGCAGAGTATACTGCAGTTTGAGTGTAACTACTTGTGAAAAAGTAAGAATAAAAATCCTGGGCTTGTATGTGTTTCAGGTAGGCTATGGTTTATGACCCATTTATAGCTTTGAGTATCACATCAATGCAACTCTTTCAGGAGCTAACTTGGTATCAAGGTTTTTTTTTTTCATTTAAAAATTTGAAGTTAGGGAAACTGATGATTTTGATGAATTAACCCTTGATTTGTTTAATGGTAGTTTAATAAATTACAGTTGTCTGAGTTCACATGTGTTCAGCCATAATTTACAATATACAGTGAAGTTACAATATACAGTGGTGTTATAAATATATAAAACATACTAAACCAGAACCAAATGAATCATATTATGGCTTAATACAATGCATAAAGAGATAGTCACAAAGGTGGTATACTTTTAAGATTCTATTTTTGTTAGGGGGAGTTGACTGTCTCATTCTTAATGTCCCTTTCAAGTTGAAAACTCTAAGACTCTTGTTGGATGATGCAAAGTAATTTTGGGGTCTCTCAATTCTCTGAAGAGCCATGTGCCTCTGTGGAAGTATGTTGATGCCACGTGCCAGACTGGGAAAAGGAAAGGGCATGACTAGCTTTTTGGTCTGTGTTTTTGAGGCAATTAGTCTAATGGGGCCATGCTTACGAATACAGTCTGTCTCATTATCTCTGGCTAGCCTACAGCTCCTTTTGTAGGTTTCTAAGTGGTTGCTTGGTTCTGCAGACAGTTGTAGGTTTTGTTAGTTGAGGAAAAATGACAAAGCAGGTAGATGTCTCCCCTTGTCTCTAAGAGACGGTAGACAAAAAGGTTATTTAGCTTTTTTTCCCTTGGCCCTATCTTGAGGGACGGTGGAGAAAAATTTACTTTGGGAGGGGGGAAGAGGACATAAACAGGAACAACGTTGTTGCACATAACCTGACCTTATAAAACGGCATCTTCATCCAGCATTTGATTAGAGCTTTGCCCTGGAAGGTTATATCAGGAGTCCTCTTGTGGCCTTGAAGAAACCAAGACTACGATGAACCACAATATTAAGGTAACAGTTGTGCTCCTTTCTAATTGGCCAAAATGTATAAGAAGACGTTTATCTTGGCTTTAAAAGAAGCAATTGAAGAGAGATGCAAACTGAACAACCTTTCATAAAGTGCTGAGGATTAATCTGGAAAGGAATGGAAAATAATTGACCAATCTGATGTTACTATACAATTTGAAATTAAATCTGTATGTTGAAAATACTTACTTCAGTAGGCTTGGGCTTATATGGCAGATTGCAATCTTGCTGATTGTATAGAATGCGCAGTAGGCAGAAGAATCCTAGGAGACTCAAAATGTTTGAATCAATTTAAAATTGATGCAGTGAATAATATTAAACTTGTACTATGTTTAGAAGTAACCAATTTCTCTTTGTGGCTCTTGATTTCTACCATGCTCTCATTTCTGGGTTGCATCAGAGCTCTAAGAAGGGTATGGAGAAGAAAAGCAATACTATTATCTCTGTTCAGATTAATTTAGAGAGCTTAGATAGAAGAAATGTCCACATTGGATAAATATACATTGAGGATGTTGATGTTAACCTTGGATTAAATGGATGAGGAAGCCGAGTCAAGTAACTTTCAATCAGCAAAGACATTATGGGGAAGGATGACCATCACTAATTTGCTGGGGAGCAGGATTCCTAGCAGAAAAATTGAAATTGTCCTACGTGAAAAAACAATCCTGAGAAGACAATCAAAGGGACAGCAGCAAATATGGTTGAACAGGGTAAGTGACAGATGGAAGATGGAAAAAGAAACCAGTAAAAATGGTCTTTCTTGATCTGGGCAAAAAATGTATCTGGATTAGGAGAAGGTGCTGGGGCATTCAATACCAGATTTTACATGAAGCCATCTGAAAAAGAAGCTGCAAGTAAATGACCGCAAACACCTTACGGACTATTTGTGTAAAATAGAAAAAAAAGATGAACTTATGGTTTATGGTTTTGAAGATTAGACAGGGTAAATTGTAGAAAGAAGAGATTTATGTTGTAACCAAAGAGAAACAAGTAAATTTATGACTGTACGTATAACTGCTGTAAAGAAGATTAGAACCTACTTCTGTATATCTTTTTTCTTCCTTTTTCTTCCTATTTTTCTTTTACTTTTTCATTTCTTATACTTTTACCCTCCCCTTGATTTCCTTTCTTCTCTTTTTCTTACTTTATATTTATCTGAATTAGTTTTTATTTTCCTCCATATATTTTATGAAGGATGCCAATGATATAGATATAGATATAGATATAGATATAGATATAGATATAGATATAGATATAGATATAGATAATGAAAATAAAGCTGCAAGTACTGCAGGAAATTCACTGGTGGAAAACTGTAAAGAGTTTTGGCTGCCTGATATCAGAAAGAAAATACTAAATTGGAGGTGGGGAAGGGGCAAAAAAAAAAAAGCTAAATAGTTGAGAATGGAGTGGTGAGTTAAAGCACCTTTGATGCAGAGAAAGTTTACAATTTACCGGTAGATCTGCTAGTTTCAAAAAATGAATGATTAAGTTACAGGTGTATGGCATCAATTGATGAAATTATGCATGATTCGAGGAAATGACTGAGAGTTTCTTTTTTTCCTTTTAGCCACTGGCTTAAATCGCTTTAAAGAGGGGATCACAGAAATTGATGTGGGCTATTGATGGCTACTAGTGTTGCCATTCCACTGAAGGATATGACTCAAAACACTTTGAGCTGGAGAATGCAAAGTGGAGGTTATTACAGATTTTCGCATCCTACTCATAAGCTTGAGGCATCTCATTAGCCATTACACAAAATGGTCATAGTGTACTGAACTGCTCCAATTCATGAAATTAGTCTCAATAGGGAATTTCTACCTAAAATCAAGGAGGAAAGGTTTATATCCCCATCCGTCTGACTAGTTATTGCCACCTGCATTTTGAAACCTCAATTATTTTTGCAAATAAAATGCAAAAAAATGGCCTAGTTCCCAGAACATACTTATGGCAAACCTACCCATGATTTGTACAATCAGACGCAATTCTCTGGATTCACACTGCATAAAATAACCCCAGTGGCTGCTTTGCATAAGGCACCTGTTCAAACCTTGATCATAGAACTGGGAAGCAGCAAAGAAAAACTAGGTGAGATACCTTGAGGCTTGAAAAGAAGTCATTAGTGCAAGGACACCCATAACAAGTAGTTATCCTCCTTTTTTTATTCATTAGTATTAGAATAACAAAAAGCTCCAAATAGTTATTAATCCAGATATCTTTTTTCTGCTCCCACTCCCCCAATTCTTCCTATTTAGAAGTATCTCTTTGTTACAATCTGAATGCATATTAATTTAACCAAAGTAAGGATAATTGAAATGTTGGCTGGAATTATGGGAATTACAGTGCAGCATATCTGGAGGGCATTATTATTAGGGAAAGCAACCTTATTACAATCTTATATTCTCTGGTCTCCTTGGTGCATTCTTAAGTTTCTTTGTCAGAATTCATTTCAGCTTCACGGGGAAAATGGTATGCTTTAGCCTAGACTGGGTTCATATGCAATATACTGCATCACAAACTAGCCAATCGTCTTTTTATGTCAGCAAACCTGGTCTGAATGACAAATGCATGGTTTAGTGCAATGTTTCTCAATCTTGGAAAATTCAAAATGTATGGACTTTAAGTCCCAGATTGTTCAGTTATTCAGTTCTAGGACTGAAGTCCACAAATCTTAAAGTTGCTAAGGCTGAGGAAGCACTAATTTAGTGGACTGTGTGAACTCACAAAATCAGATTAACTACCTGACTAAAACTTCTATTAAGTCTTTAATAATAAGTTGCTATAATTGCTCTTTGAGAGCCTAAATGGATCATTCAACGTATGAGGGAAAACCACGGCATGCAAAATTTTCTAATGGTGTTTGTGGTGAAGAGTGATTCAAAGAACACAAATGTAAACCAGGCATATTATGGCTTTTATATGATTCTGTGGTTTTATTTTAAACTGCTCAGAGACGTGCAAGTGAGAGTACTGAAAATTGATAATTAAATAAAGAAATAAAAATAAAATAAGTACTGTGGGTGGCGTAGAGTATAAGTTGGCTGTTTGTGTTATTGGATAGAAATTGAGTTCTGAGAAAATGAATGGGAATATCCCGAAGGAGAGCAGGGATACCTGGCGTTCTCACCTTTATATAACCTAATGATTGTTACTGCAACATGCCAGGATTCTATGAGCAGTCAATGGGGGGAACCAAATTCACTTAATGACCACATGATTCACTTAACAACTGTGACAAAAAGGTCATAAAATGAAGCAAAAATCACTGAACTACCTTGCTTAACAACATAAATTTTAGGCTGAATTGTAGTTGTAAATCGAGGACCTGTATATCTGGAAAACACTAAAAAAAACTTATTCTGAACTTTTAATTTACAGTTTAATTGCTTTGAAAAGCTTGTTACTTATTTCTAGTCACTCAGGCCATTCAAGAGTCTAGTCCTGTGATGGTGAACCTATGGCACGTATGCCAAAAGTGGCATGCCAGCACCCTGTCTGAGCACACGAGTTGTCGCCCTAGTTCAACTCTGACGTGCAAGCATGTGTGCCTCCCACTGGCCAGCTGGTCTTCGGGTCCCTGCCGTGCTGGGGGCTAGGGGCATACAGCAGACTGCATGCACATGCATGGGGGCAGGCCAGGGGGCTGCACATGCATGCACGGGGGTGGGGCACATGCGGGGGCGCATGTGCATGTGTAGGGGGCAGGGTGCATGCACAGGGGTCGCACACACATTGCATTCAGCCGTGAGCAATCCAGAAAAGGTTAGGCAACACTAGTCTAGTCAGATATGCAACATATTACAATGAGAATAGTTTGCACATCTGATCAGTTACAGATTTAGTTCTATTTATAATAAAACTATTATTTTCAATTCTGAATGGTCATTGGCATATCTGTCTGAATCTCCAAATGACTTGATCACTTTTTCTACACTCTCTCCGCACATTTTCACTTATCACTTTGTATGTGTAGTGGAAAAACATTTTCCTATAGGTCAAATTCATTGAGAATATTGTATGGTTTCCGTACAACTCTTCCCTGGTGGTTTCATTATCCCCATTCTCTGGGGTACAGCATGGAACTATAAAATCCTACTTTCAAACACATCCACAGTCAAGAAAGCACCCATTCATGCTTTGTGGCATAATTTTAGTCCTTTGGTTTATAATTTAAGACCACATTTTACCTTCCATAAATCTCATCATTTTTCAAATGATGAGAATAGACTTCATTCAGGTCTACTACACCTTTCTCTTTCTCTTAATTTCACAAGTCACATAACATACCTACTTTTATTTCATTCATTTGCTAATTCACATTCTTTTTCATTTATTCCCCATATTTTAAATCTCAATTTTTCATAAAGGAAATCATCAGATGGATCTATACACCTTGGCCTCTTAACGCCATCCTAGCTTTGATCAATGAAGGGTTTTGCACAAGGCTTTTTAATAAGAGAAGGCTAGCAGACTTGGTTACACTTATGCCATTTGCAATATTCTCTGCGAAAAGCAAGAACGGGCACTGATATTTCCTGTTTATTTTGGTCAATATGCCATCAACACAACAGAGCCACATTTTAGCCCAAGGATGCTCATGCTGGTGTCCCTAATTTAGAAACTATCTGGCAAATCAATATATATATACAAACACACATTCAGGAGACATCAAATCCAATTCTCTCCCTTCTCCTCTCCACTCCCGCAGACTATTTTCTTCTTCATGGCCAGTACCCTATCTATTAGGCAGAGTGAGGTAGTCAATCATTTTCAGTATCATGAACAGGAAGCAAATATTCCCTTTATTATTAGAGATGTTTATAGGATTTTTCTGCCTCAGGGATCTCAAGACTTACCTCGGATGCTAGTCACAGCTGATCATAATACCCAGGAGTTACTTTTTAAACTAGAGGTAAAATCTCAGATTCCTCTCTCTGTCTCTGAATACAACTCTAATGATGGTAAAATAATATAACCATTTGCTCACTTCCTTTTCAGCACAAAATCAGCAGCTGGCTTCAGACTCATGGTATAGAAGCAAGTCTATTTCAGGCAACTAAAAGTCTTGGGTCAGTGCTCAGTTAGAACTGATGGCTTTGATGTGACGTCTCTCTGCAGATTAAAAAAAAAGTTATCTTGAAGGAAGTTTGATAAGTCCTTCCCACCTAATAAACTAAATTTGCCTTTCTTACCCTCTCAGCTAAATTTCGTTAAATCTTTGGTATCTATCATGTTCCAGAGATTGATTCCTGTTCACTCATAGTCTTTCAGTGCTTTTGGTTCACACATTGTAGCCAGCCACAATGTAATTCTTTCTTTCTAACAGTGTAATGTTTGAATCAGAGGTGGGTTTCAGCAGGTTCTGACCAGTTCTGGAGAACCGGTAGCGAAAATTTTGAGTAGTTCGGAGAACCGGTAGTAAAAATTCTGACTGGCCCCGCTCCCATCTATTCTCTGCCTCCTGAGTCCCAGCTGATTGGGAGGAAATGGGGATTTTGCAGTAACCTTCCCCTGGATTGGGGAGGGAATGGAGATTTTACAGTATCCTTCACCTGCCACGCCCACCAAGCCATGCCACGCCCACCCACAGAACCAGTAGTAAAAAAAATTGAAACCCACCACTGGTTTGAACTCACCCACTATGTCTTATTTAGGAAAACATACTTTAAAATAAATCATGGTTAAATAGTGTGAACCCAATTTATATTTTTAATTATATTCATGAATGTCATTCCAGGAGAACCTTGCTGATTTAATCAATACAACAGAATAATTTTTAAGGCAGAAACGGGGATGTTCCTTGATTCCTTGATGTTATGATGTTTGTGTGTCTATATTTTTCTTGACTGTACACCGCCTTGAGTCCTACAGGAGAAAGGCGGTATAGAAATATAATAAATAAATAAATAAATAAAATAAAATTTGTTAGCCATTTGTCTGATGGAAGTTTACATCTTTCATCCATGCAGACCAGGTTTTATAATAGTGGGGCATGCTGGGACATGTAGTTCTGGAGTATTACACTTTCTCTAACTTTGACCTATCCTTAAAATGTGCTCACTTCGATCATGTCTTTACAGGTTCAGAGAGCCGCTTCAGTTCTCCTGCTCTTGCTGCTGTGCTCCTTTGCCGGGGCCAAACGAGCCATGCCAGACTGTTGCCGGCAAAAAAGCTGTTCATGCCGCATCTTTGATCTGCTCCATGGGATAGGCAACCATGCCGCCGGCATCCTGACCATTGGCAAGCGTAGCAGTGCCATGACCACCAAGGGCTTCCAGAACCGCCTCTACCGCCTTTTGCATGGCTCAGAAAACCAGGCTGCTGGGATTCTCACAATGGGCAAGAGAGCGACTGGGCTCCCCTTGCCCCTCAATAAGAATGCACCCAGCATCTCCCAGATGATGCCCATCCCATATGCTGCAGAGCCTGACCCAGTCATGGGCTGCCTGACTCCCCAGAAGACCAATGCCGTAAATCCCATTTACTAAGAAATTGCAAATAAGGAAATCCTTTTCAAGAGTTTGCATGAGTCCTTCCTGCTTTCTCTCATCACTGCTGTTGGTTGCTATTTTACACCAGCCAGGTGCTAGGTGCTGTCCAAAGATAGCGGTGCAGTTTGTTCATTTTGTAAATAGCTCTTTCATTTATCTGTCACCACATTCTCTTCCAAATAAAGCCTCTTGTGTTTAATAACTGCTTTGTCCAAAGATCTGTGTGAATTCAACCCAGAATGCTTGATGGATCAACCAACAATCCATCTCGACCAGCTTTCTATTTCTCAAACTCTTTTATGCAAAGGATATACAAGACTAGAATTCATTTTTCTCTTCTGCTGCTTAGAGCCACAACGCCGCTCAATGGGAAAGCTCAGATTGCCTAGTCTGTTTTCCAATACTGAGAGATGTATTGCCTCCAATTGCCTATAAAGCTACCAAATAAATCTTCATCAAGCCAAACATCCAGGCAGGATTTCCTTAACATTTTTCTTGTCAATCACAAATGTTAACCCAGCATGAGTGACCACTTCAATATCTACCAGACATGGCTCATGCTAAGGTTTTTTAAGCTATTTTAAAAAGGCAAATTCCACTGCAGTTATCTTTGTGCTCCCAAACTGTTTGAGCTCTGGTGATCTATCTCTACAGTAACTGCTTCTGCCTGCCTAAGACTGCCTGACCAGGAGATCTGTTGCTTTTTAATGATTTCATGGGGTTGGCAGCCATTGGCAGCCAGAGGGCAGTGTTGGCAAAGAAAGCTTGGCTACTCCAAATGTCTTTGTGTGCTAGATTCTTTTGTGTGCTGACAGATATTTGATTGACCATCTCGGCAGTCTGATCTGGAATTTATAATTCAAACTAAGTAAGAAATCTTTGTGGTTAATACAAAGTTGGTTCAAGAACACCTTTCTTATTTGAGGCTTCTTTGTTGTGCAGAATCCTAGCCCAAATGAAGCTAACTTTGATGTAATCTAAATAGTTCCACTTAGAATCATAGAATAGCAGAATAGAAGGTTCTTTCTTTTTTTCATCTTCTTCACTTTTTACAAATTGAGCAGTAGTTGGTTTCTAGCCAATAGTTCAAACCAACAGCATCCTCTGTGTAGACAACAGGCACCATGATCCCCAGATTCATTAGGGCAAGCAGTCAATTATATTTCTATTGAATTGAGCTATCGGCAGTCTGATACTATATTTGCATGGGGTTCTCAACCAATTTGATAAGAGTCTTTGGGCTAATTTAATGAAGGGAGGGTGGGAATCCCAAATCCAGAGGGATAGAGAGGGATACAAATACTGGAAAAAGACACATTTGGAATAGGAAATCCTCTAAATGGTCAGTTTTTAGTTTTCCTAAAGGAAAACCAGGTTTGGGTTAAGAAGGGATGCAGTGATTGTGTTTAAGCTGGGTTTAGGCTTCAGCAGTCAGTGAGGCCCTCCTTCTGTAGCATAAACTAATCCAGGGGTCAGCAACCTGTGGCTCTGGAGCCGCATGTGGCTCTTTCACCCCTCTGCTGTGGCTCCCTGTCACTCAAAATATCACTCACAGCCGCCAATGTGTGACCCTTGCTGGCACGTGATTTATTGAGCTTTTCAACCCCCGGTAGGCCAACCATGGATAAAGCCAAGGAAAAAAAAGTTTCAGAAGAAAACATATGTTTAATTTGACTACGTATGCTAGTTTTGTGGCCACTCAAGAAATAACCAGGCATGGGAAGGGTTTTGTGGCTCCCGGTGTTTTCTGTGGGAAACAGGTCCAAATGGCTCTTTGAGTGTTTAAGGTTGCATACCCCTGAACTAATCACAAAGTCTGAATTTTCACACAACAAATAAAACCAAAATATTGTGGCATGTGTAAGTAACATATAATATGTCGTATATAACATGTGTAACATACTGAGTTCCAGACTCCAATTTCAGAAAAAAGAAAAGAGAAACATTTCTTAGTAGTGGCACAATTTTGGTTGTGAAAATTCAGCACCAGAAATTATTATCCTTCTGTTTTCTAAAATTGCAAGTAAAAATGGGACCTAACTTACATTCTTTGATTGGTGATGGGTGAGTATGTGGTTGTGATCACAGAACAAATAGGTCACATATAAACCTACAAAGTATATTGTCACAACATGAAGTTTAACTTCTTTTGTTCCTAGTGTGCAAATTCAGCCCCTTGTTTTAATTTATCTTGAAATCTCAGAAAAAGGATTAATTCACTAACCAAGTTAAGTCTACCATAGTCAGTGGGTCCATTGTTGCACATGTTGTCTCTTATTTCTACTTTATCTTAACACTTTCTGTATTTTTTTTCAAGAAAGAAGAAATCCTCTGATTAATCACCTGATGCCCGCTCTTTTTAATTGCGAGTCAAAGCCATTCGGCCCAAGGTGTTTTTGCCTTGTTTGCACTCTGTGCACTGAACGAAGCGCTTGAGATGCCGCTCGTGGGAACCCGCGCGAGGTAAAGCGGGCGCTGAAAGCTGGGCGGGATCCCTCTGGATCCCTCCCCAGCCCTGTCGTCCGCGCCAGCCCGCTAATTGCACGGCTGGGATTAGAAGGGAGGGAAATGACAGCCGGGAGGGAGGGAGGGAGGCGTTGAGCTCCCAGGCAGCTGTTTCTCCTCGCCGTTCCCAGCGCGCCAGCTCAGTCGGGACACAGCGCGTCTCACCCGCCCCATCTTGCGCTCTTCTCCACGGCTGCGCTTGGATTCTCGCCGCTGGACAGCGGACCCCGCGGGGGCAGCGGGGCGCCGATGGTGGTGCCCCCGCCGCGATGCCGGTGATGAAAGGTTTGCTAGCCCCACAGAACACCTTCTTGGACAACATCGCAAACAGGTTCGATGGGACACGTAAGTGACCTCTGAAACTTCCCTTCACCGGGAAGAGAGATCGTTGGCCTGGGTTGTATTTGGAGGGTTGGTGGAAGAGATCTGCGACACCATCCTGGTCCCTCGCGGAGTTCACTGGAGGTATCGGGGCAAACTCTTGGATTTCTCCTTCCCTTCCTTTCCTCCGCACCCAGACAGCTTTCTCTCCTTTCTCTCGCCGACGCGCCATCCCTACACTTGGTTGGAAAGTTAAAACTCCACTTGAGAAGAAGGAGACAGGCAGGTGGGGATGCGAGCCACCTCACCTGAAGATTCCCCCTCTCCCCGTCTCTTTGAGCGCGGGGAGGAAAGAGATTTTTGGGATGGGGGGGATGTACGAGGTATGTGCCCAACCAATCCCAGGAACAATGATGGGCTCTCCGTACCGTTTCTTCCCGCGCCCTCCCGTCCCGCTTAGTGCGCCGTCTCTTTCTGCGCCCGTTTCCACCACCCACCCACCCCGATTCCCCGCTCCCGAGTTAACAAAGAACCGATAAACCCTCTTTGTCTTTATCCGAGCGGCAACCTGAGACACTCTCTCCTGTCCCTCCCCCATCCCGGGAAAAGGTCGATATTTTCGGGGGCGGGTATGCCTCAGCAGCTGTAGGAAAAATTCCTCACTGGCCCCCAATTTTGACTGTTCAGATGAACTGATGAACTCCTTCCTTTGGCTTTTCAGACTGGCGTTTTTAGGAGTCACGCATGAACACCTGCGCTCTTCTTTAAACTATGTTTGTTTAGATGTGTGAAAGGAGACCGAAGTAATGGTAAAAAAGGCTTTTTTAGACAAGCCTAGTTTGGGGAGGGGAGAGGGAACATTTTAGTCTTCTTTTTCCCACCCGGCAAAATTTTCCCTCCAAATCTGTTTTACAGTAAAGCAGTTGAACCACTGGCTAACTTCCAAAATTCACTCTAAAAGGGAGCTGGTATATTCGGTTCAAAGTGGGATAAGCCATTTTATTGAATTCTGGATGGAATGAGGGATTCTGCCCCAAAATGTTGATCTGAGGCCACTCCTACTCTTTTCAAACCCAGGAAATGTGGATCTGTAGAGGAGAGTGCCTCTGAGCATGTGCAAAGTAGCTCCTCTTTCCTGGTAGATGATGGAATGAAAGACGATGTCTTGACTCCCCAGTTAAAAATACTTTGCCCCTCTTTCCCCCTTCCCCTCTGTCATTGCAATATGTTAGGTACTAATTTCTCTTTGGGATGGAGGGGAGGAAGGGCAGACGGACGGACAGGCGGACAGACGGATGGACTGTTCTCCTCTTTTTGATAAAGCACCTGGCACATAGGTTGTGAAACAACAGCCCAAAGCTGCAGAGGGAAGGGCAATCTGTCAATGAGGGAGCACCGAGTTGCACACATCATTTGTTTTAAGAACTTTTCAACTTGCTATTCTGTAATTTTCGACTCTAAAGAACTTTTTGTTCTTTGAATTTCTAGAGACTCTGATTTGGAGTTTCTAGATACTTAAGAGTATCAAAATCTGTATCTAAACTGTGTCTCATTTCACACTATAGTATTGCTGCACAATTCCTGCTAAAAGAAAGTGGCATAATGAGGATGCAGTGAAATATTATTAGATTTTGGTTTAATAGTCTTAAGGGTTGTTATGTGTCAGATGGTGACGGACATTTTATTCACTTATTTTCATTACTGGGGTAAGGCAGTTTTGCTTGATAGAGGAAAGTTTGCTGCTTCTTTTTCTGAGTGGGAGCAAATTAGACTGGCCTTGATCAGCTTTTGCCTTGTGACATAGGTTGCTTTGAGGGACAGTGCCAAGCCCACAATAAGCCACCAGATATCTTGGCTGCAATACTGTGATGCCATCGAAACAGAATATGGCAGATCCCATTCATTGGAAGCATCAGAAGATTCCCCCCAAATAATATAATTTCAGAAGGGGCAATGGATTTAACTTACCAGGAAGTATAAGACACATCTTAGTTTTTGGGGAGGAAAATAAGAAAAAAGCTGATTGGCAGGTGGATCGCCTCCGGAGTACCCCCAATCAGCTGTCCCCAGAGGTGAATTTTAGCAACAAGATTCCTTGGTGGTGAGCTCTGTGCCTTGCTTTTTTTTGCTTTTTTCCCCTGCCTCTGAAACTTCTGAAACTCCATTTCAGAAAAAACTTTTTCCTGCCTCTGAAAGCCTTCCAAACAGAGCTTCAGAAAAAAAGCCTCTGAAGCTCTGTTTGGGGGCTTCTTTTCTGAAGCTCTGTTTCTGATGCTTTTTTCAGCCTCTGAAACCCCCGTTTGAGAAGTTGGCCAGAGCTACATTTGGAGTATAAGACGCACCCAGATTTTCACCCTCTTTTTTGGGGGGGAAAGGTGCATCTTATACTCCAAAAAATACGGTAGTTGGGCTGGACTTACTAGTTTATGGATGGAGTATTGAAAGATTGGGTTTTGCTTTTTTTAAAAAAGTTGATTGATAGAAAGATCCTCCCTCCCTCCTTCCTGCCCTCCTTCTCACTGATGGATGCATTTTTATTTTTTATTTATTTATATCCCGTGTTTATTATTTTTACAAATAACTCAAGATGGTAAACATATCCAACACACCTCCCTCCTCCTAGTTTCCCCATAACAACAACCCTATAAGTAAGGAGGACTGGCATAAGAGAGAGAGAGAGAGTAACTAGCTCAAAGTCACCCTCCTGGCTTTCATGGTAATGCAGGACTTGAACTCATGATCTCCTGCTTTCTAGCCTAGTGCGTTAAGCACCAGACCAAATTGACATTCTATCAAATACTGCTATCTTGATATTAGTATCAAATATTGGCAGGAATGGATAAGTGGATAAACAAGATCTATCAATGGAAATCACATGTTCTTGAAATCCCTCCTGTCCTCTGTGGGACAAATAAAGATGCACAGAATCCACACATCAGGAACTGCCATCCATATAGAACATCAATCCATGAAAATTTGAACTCCTTTTTTCTGATTCTAGATTATCTAACCATTACATGATTCTAGCTTTCAGGAAAAATTAACTAATGGAACTTCCCAGAAACATTGTGTGCTAGTTAAAAGGCTGATTATGCATTCCAAAACCTCGGACCTCACTAACAAATACTTGGTACATGAATCAAAGGTAGGAAATGGTACACGATACATGTTACATGTTACATAGGATCTTTGGCATGAAACTGCTTTCTCTTCCACCACAGTATAAATAAACCACAGTCTATTTATTTATATATGATTACATCCAAGCAATTCCTATTGGACACTGTTTCCTGTGTCAGCCTCAGTCTTTCAGTCCATGATTCCATACATGTATTTATTTATTTATTTATTTTGAATTTGTATACCGCCCTTCTCCCTGAGGACTCAGGGCGGTGAACAGCCAAGTAAAAACATCAAATACGAATATTAAAATACAATTAAAAGTATATATAAATTTGGCCCCATTAATTAAAAACGATAAACAAAACACTTAAAAACACTTAAAAAATTAGGCCAGGCCAGCTTGCTGGAAAAGGAAGGTTTTAAGGGCACGGCAGAAGGCACTGAGGTCTTGGATTCTCCTTATCTCTGGAGGCAATTGATTCCAGAGGGTAGGTGCCTCCACAGAGAAGGCCCTCCCCCTGGGGGTCACCAGCCTGCACTGTTTGGCTGATGGCACCCCGAGGAGGCCCTCTCTGTGGGAGCGCACAGGTCAATGGGAGGTCGTTGGTGGCAGCAGGCGGTCTCGAAGATAGCTAGGCCCTATGCCATGGAGCGCTTTAAAGGTGATAACCAACACTTTGAAGCGCACCCGGAAGACCACCGGGAGCCAGTGCAGCTCACGCAGGAGTGGTGTTACATTAATTATTTCTTATTAGAAAAATACTTTTAATGATGATAAGTGCACTAAACTTCTTTTTCCTTTTAGTCTAAATGGAAATAAGAATTATAAAATTAAATGGAACTCTTAAGTGTGTACATGCTTGCTTGATTAATTATACAATGCTGACAAGTTCTTTTACAATTTTGAGGATCCAAGTTTAAATACCAGTGAACTCTTTGGGCTATCCATATCTTCTGTCTCCATCTCTAGGAATTATTTCTCTGAAAACGAAAACTAAACTTTTAAATTACTGTCCATAGTGTGAAGATTACAGTTCACACTACAATCATTAGAATGGGCTATTAGAATTGTGTCATTAGAATTTAGACTTTCAATCTCTTAATAATATGTTGGTCCTTATTTTAGGCCAACATATTTGGGTTACAAATCTGGATCATATTCCTTGCATGTCAGTAGTGGTGATCCAGATTTCTGTAGTCCAGATATAGTAAACCTACTTTAAGATGTCTTTAGCAACTAGAATATGAACCAGTGGTGAAATCCAAATTTTTTTACTACCGGTTCTGTGGGCATGGCTTGGTGGACATGGTGTGGCTTGGTGGTGTGGCTTGGTGGGCGTGGCAGGGGAAGGATACTGCAAAATCTCCATTCCCATCCCACTCCAGGGAAAGGATATTGCAAAATCCCCATTCCCTTCCCACTCCTGGCAGAAGGATATTGCAAAATCTCCATTCCCACCTCACTCTAGGGCCAGCCAGAGGTAGTATTTGCTGGTTCCCCGAACTGCTCAAAATTTCTGCTACTAGTTCTCCAGAACCAGAGGTGGGTTTCAGCAGGTTCTGACCAGTTCTGGAGAACCGGTAGTGGAAATTTTGAGTAGTTTAGAGAACAGGTAGTAAAAATTCTGACTGGTCCCGCCCCCATCCATTCTCTGCTTCCCAAGCCCCAGCTGATCAGGAGAAAATGGGGATTTTACAGTATCCTTCCCCTGCCACACCCACCAAGCCACACCACGCCCACCAAGCCACGCCCACAGAACCGGTAGTAAAAAAAATTGAAACTCACCACTGTCCAGAACCTGTCAGAACCTGCTGGATTTCACCCCTGGTATGAACCCTTTATATAACAGCACTTCTAGAATCAGCAGTGGAAAGAACCTAGCAGGCTCTGGCTGAATAGT